TGGACAAGGATAATATTGCGAATATACTGGATGGACAAGGATAATATTGCTAATATACTTTGTGGACAAGGATAATATTGCTAATATACTGGGTGGACAAGGATAATATTGCTAATATACTGGGTGGACAAGGATAATATTGCGAATATACTGGATGGACAAGGATAATATTGCTAATATAGTGGGTGGACAAGGATAATATTGCTAATATACTAGGTGGACAAGGATAATATTGCTAATATACTGGGTGGACAAGGATAATATTGCTAATATAGTGGGTGGACAAGGATAATATTGCTAATATACTGGGTGGACAAGGATAATATTGCTAATATATTGGGTGGACAAGGATAATATTGCTAATATACTGGGTGGACAAGGATAATACTGCAAATATACTGGGTGGACAAGGATATTATTGCTAATATACTGGGTGGACAAGGATAATATTGCTAATATACTGGGTGGACGAGGATAATATTGCTAATATACTGGGTGGACAAGGATAATATTGCTAATATACTGGGTGGACAAGGATAATATTGCTAATATACAGGGTGGACAAGGATAATACTGCAAATATACTGGGTGGACAAGGATAATATTGCTAATATACAGGGTGGACAAGGATAATACTGCAAATATACTGGGTGGACAAGGATAATATTGCTAATATACTGGGTGGACAAGGATAATACTGCTAATATACTGGGTGGACAAGGATAATATTGCTAATATACTGTTTGGACAAGGATAATATTGCTAATATACTGGGTGGACAAGGATAATATTGCTAATATACTAGGTGGACAAGGATAATATTGCTAATATACTAGGTGGACAAGGATAATATTGCTAATATACAGGGTGGACAAGGATAATACTGCAAATATACTGGGTGGACAAGGATAAAATTGCTAATATACTGGGTGGACAAGAAGAATACTGCTAATAAACTGGGTGGACAAGGATAATATTGCTAATATACTGGGTGAACAAGGATAATATTGCTAATATACTGGGTGGACAAGGATAATATTGCTAATATACTGGATGGACAAGGATAATATTGCTAGTATACTGGGTGGACAAGGATAATATTGCTAATATAGTGGGTGGACAAGATGAATATTGCAAATATAGTGGGTGGACAAGGATAATATTGCTAATATACTGGGTGGACAAGGATAATATTGCGAATATAGTGGGTGGACAAGATGAATATTGCTAATATACTGGGTGGACAAGGATAATATTGCTAATATACTGGGTGGACAAGGATAATATTGCTAATATACTGGGTGGACAAGATGAATATTGCAAATATACTGGGTGGACAAGGATAATATTGCTAATATACTGGGTGGACAAGGATAATATTGCTAATATACTGGGTGGACAAGGATAATATTGCTAATATACTGGGTGGACAAGGATAATATTGCTAATCTACTGGGTGGACAAGATGAATATTGCTAATATACTTGGTGGACAAGGATAATATTGCTAATATACTGGGTGGACAAAGATAATATTGCTAATATACTGGGTGGACAAGGATAATACTGCTAATATACTGGGTGGACGAGGATAATATTGCTAATATACTGGGTGGACAAGAAGAATACTGCTAATATACTGGGTGGACAAGGATAATATTGCTAATATACTGGGTGGACAAGGATAGTACTGCAAATATACTGGGTGGACAATGATAATACTGCTAATATACAGGGTGGACAAGGATAATATTGCTAATATACTGGGTGGACAAGGATAGTACTGCAAATATACTGGGTGGACAATGATAATACTGCTAATATACTGGGTGGACAAGTATAATACTGCAAATATACTGGGTGGACAAGGATAATACTGCAAATATACTGGGTGGACAAGGATAATACTGCTAATATACAGGGTGGACAAGGATAATACTGCTAATATACAGGGTGGACAAGGATAATACTGCTAATATACTGGGTGGACAAGGATAATACTGCTAATATACTGGGTGGACAAGGATAATATTGCTAATATACTGGGTGGACAAGGATAATATTGCAAATATACTGGGTGGACAAGAAGAATATTGTGAATACAGTTGAATCCACTTAAGTCGAACTTGGATAAGTCGAATTTTGCTCAAGTAGACATGACCAGCTAAATCCGGCAATTTTCCTTCTTTATCTTAGTATTTAAAATCCTGATAAGTCCAATCCGGTTAACTCAAATATTTGGATAAGTCGATTCTTAAAATAAATTCTGAGTGCCAAACTGCTTTAGACAAGCTGGCTTCTTACCTGCATTAGTAAAAAAAAATAAAAGTAAAGGACCCCTTTCCACGCCTTTAGGCGTATAGGGCACATAGGGCTAGACCTATATTTTTATAGACCAATTGGCACAAGATGGGTGATGTGGTCAGCATCACACCAGCTGCCTTTACTTCCCAGGACTGCACCCGGTACCTACTTAAGGCTGTGTTGACCTGGGAGCCAGGTCATTTTTGAAAATTTGTCCGGCTCCGCCAGGGAGCAAACCCACGACATTCCAATCCGCGGCGAGCATTCACCTGCATTAGATTTGCCAGTAAATAAGATTTCCACAACATCAACGAGCAGTGAGAATAATGTTACTGATATTTTAGTGGAGCCATTACTTGCTAGGTCGTATCAAGAGCTGAACCAGAGAAGTATGTGAACACTGATTATGATGTTTTCACCAGTGCCACTCTTTCAGGCCACTCTTTCAACTCAACAAGAGACTTTTTGAGCCCTGACTCTGATGTTGAGGATGACTGTGGACTGCAAGCACAACCTGTATCAGTCAGATGTTTGGCACACATGGACAAAATTAACATTTACATGATGCAGACCGGGTGTTCAGATGATGTAATCTCACCATTTGTTGCATTTACACATACCATGGAAAGACATAATTTATAGTCCTAAAGGCAAAGCAAAATCACAGACTTTAAAAAAAAATTAATGTCTAAATTTGCATTTGGTTTTAATGTTATACCTTCTAAAATAATAAAATATTTCAAAATTTCTGATACTGTATTGATATTTGTTTGTTAAATTATGGGGTTTCCTAACTGGTATAATTGTTTTACTCAAAGTGTACATTCTCTTTTGTGTGTGCTGTATGGATAAGTAGAAATCCTGATAAAATATCTCTAGCCCTGGGTGGTGACGTCACGCCAAGCTGATGACGTCAGCACCTAGGCCTATTAATCTGGAGAAGGTGTTGGTCTGTCTTATCACACTATCTAGAGCCATGCAGCAGCAAAGCAGTCCCAGTGTAAGGTGCAGAAGCATAGGAAAGAGCTTGGAACGGAGGCTGTTGGTTTGGACCAGGATAATACCTGGAACAATTGGATGGCCAATATGTAACTGGCGATTATATAGCCCTCCGGCGGGTTGCGGTAGATTTAGTGAGCCACCTCTGGGGCAGACTTCTCACTGCTTGTTGTAACTTATATAAAAGACTGACACGTATGCCCTAACGGTGTTGGTTTAATCGTGTTTAAGGATAGACGTATCTGTCTTTCTGTCATAGAGCTGCCAATGAACTTCTTGCCTTGATGGCTGTAAGCAGGTCCCTGACAATACGGATAATAAGTAATTTGTTTTTTTAATAATTTGTACAAGTACATATAAAAAAAGTCTTTAAATATTTCTGATTATAATAATATGTTTTATTCACAGACAAATAAAATAGACAAAAGCAAAACTGATGCAGTGTTTCTTTGTTATCTATATATTATCATTCACAATATAATCCTTACACTCTCACATCCCCTCCTTTGAAACAAGCCTCCATAACAGTTGTCTACACTTAAAACTCGGCCTCTCTCTCTCTCTCTTATTATATTTATATCTGGCCTGTACTTAAAACTGGTCTCTCTCTCTCTCTCTCGTAATTCTCAAAACAGGTCTTCTCTCTTCCTATCCCTTGTTATACTTAAAACTAGCTCTCTCTCTCTCTCCCCCTCTCTTGTTATACGTAAAATGAGCCTTCTCTTTTTTCCTTTCCTTACACTTAAAACATGCTCTCTCTTTTCCTCTCTCCTGTTATTATTAAAAAGGCCTTCTCTCTCTATTTTCCTCTCATTATACTTAAAACCGACCTTTTCTCTCTCTCGTTATCTCTTGTCACACATAAAACTAACCTTCTGTCTTGTACATAAAAATGACTTTGTCTTTCTTCTCCTACTCCTCACTTGTCATACATAAAACTGACTTTCTCTATCTCCTTCTCACTTTTCATACACAAAACTGACATTCACTATCTCCTTCTCACTTGTCATACATAAAACAGATCTTCTCTTTCTTTCCTTCTCCCTTGTCATACACAAAACTGACCTTCTCTCTCGTCATACATAAAAGTGACCCCCTCTCTCTCTCTCTTATCATACGTAACACTGACCTTCTCTCTATCTTTCCTTATACTTTAAACTGGCCTTCCTCTTTCTTTCTTGCCTATGCATGCACACAGAATGGAACAGCACATAAGAAACATGTAACGAGAGAAGCAATGTACTACAGACTTCCTACAGACATGATGTCATCAATATCACACTTGGGTAAAAGCTGTGAAGAACAAAAGAATGATCCCAAGAGCGAAGTGGTCAACCTGTTTGCCTCACACTCTGAGGACTGTGGCTGTGCTGTTCAGTTCATAAGTGAAATTTATATGGAGACCTCTGGGGATCATTGCTGGAGCTATAGTGCAAATTCTTTGTGCAAATCTTTTGGTAGACAGCTAGCACTCACCATGAAAGGCAATTAATAAGGAGTGTTTCCTTTGAAGTCAGAGCGCACCTACCTGAGAGGTAAGGAACTAACAGTCTGTATACAAAGAAGCCAGATCTGTGAAACTGATGTGCAAACAAAACTAAAGTTCTGGAACAAGACCAAAGTCCAGAAGCGGATGAACAACCACAGATTTCTGCCAGAGAGGAACACAAAGAAAATAAGAACAGACACACTGGATTATTAGCTTGGGGTTTTGAACTTTCTTTCACCAGGACTATTATTGGAATCCTCCACCTGACTAACATTTAGGTGAGGTGCTGTGGCCTCGATGCTGGAGTCCGTCACTGGGGACTTTTTCTTGGAATCCACAACAGTCCATGTTGAGCCGGATGCACCATCCTGTGGATACAAAATAAGCTACAGACCAGGGCCACAATCGGATCCAAGAGGACAGATGTGAATGAATAAGTAAATGTTGAATGAATGTAGGATTAAAATATTGGTAAATGGGACTGCGGTAAAGTTTTTTTTAGTTAGGCTGCAATATCTGCACCTTTCAGCCTGAATCATCCCATAATGGGGAAGATCACTTATTATATATGTATATATATTTCAAATGTACACACACTGATTTCCATTTTAGATGTGTTACAAACATGTACTTTGAATACCAAACCACCTAAATTGGATAAAATGTTATTTCGTAACTGCCAAGTGCCTTAATATTACTTTTTATATGACTGGACAGGATTTTGGAGATTTGCTTCTTCTGGATTCTCATCCGAATAGTGATCTTTGAGTCACTGGGTGTTAATCTTTCAGAAAGCAATCCTAAAGGGGGGAATACATACACTGATATCGACATTTACTGTGAAACAAATACATACTTTATCTCCACATCTGCTGTTACAAATATATACAGTAGTAGTTCGGGATCTTAACGACCAAAACTCAGGCAACTTGGAACCCAGACAAAATTTTCAAATTTTTTTCCTTTTGGAAATTCAAATGCCCCCTTGGAAACTGAGGGCTTGGCATGTGTGATTATGCTGACAGGACAACAGCTTCAGTACCTTCACCAGCAGCAGTGGTATGTGTGATTATGCTGACAGGACAACAGCTTCAGTACTGTCACCAGCAGCAGTGGTATGTGTGATTATGCTGACAGGACAACAGCTTCAGTACCTTCACCAGCAGCAGTGGTATGTATGATTATGCTGACAGGACAACAGCTTCAGTACTGTCACCAGCAGCAGTGGTATGTGTGATTATGCTGACAGGACAACAGCTTCAGTACCTTCACCAGCAGCAGTGGCATGTGTGATTATGCTGACAGGACAATAGCTTCAGTACCTTCACCAGCAGCAGTGGTATGTATGATTATGCTGACAGGACAACAGCTTCAGTACCTTCACCAGCAGCAGTGGTATGTGTGATTATGCTGACAGGACAACAGCTTCAGTACCTTCACCAGCAGCAGTGGTATGTATGATTATGCTGACAGGACAACAGCTTCAGTACTGTCACCAGCAGCAGTGGTATGTATGATTATGCTGACATGACAATAGCTTCAGTACTGTCACCAGCAGCAGTGGTATGTGTGATTATGCTGACAGGACAACAGCTTCAGTACCTTCACCAGCAGCAGTGGTATGTATGATTATGCTGACAGGACAATAGCTTCAGTACCTTCACCAGCAGCAGTGGTATGTATGATTATGCTGACAGGACAACAGCTTCAGTACTGTCACCAGCAGCAGTGGTATGTGTGATTATGCTGACAGGACAATAGCTTCAGTACTGTCACCAGCAGCAGTGGTATGTATGATTATGCTGACAGGACAACAGCTTCAGTACCTTCACCAGCAGCAGTGGTATGTATGATTATGCTGACAGGACAACAGCTTCAGTACCTTCACCAGCAGCAGTGGTATGTATGATTATGCTGACAGGACAACAGCTTCAGTACCTTCACCAGCAGCAGTGGTATGTGTGATTATGCTGACAGGACAACAGCTTCAGTACCTTCACCAGCAGCAGTGGTATGTGTGATTATGCTGATAGGACAACAGCTTCAGTACCTTCACCAGCAGCAGTGGCATGTGTGATTATGCTGACAGGACAACAGCTTCAGTACTGTCACCAGCAGCAGTGGTATGTGTGATTATGCTGACAGGACAACAGCTTCAGTACCTTCACCAGCAGCAGTGGCATGTGTGATTATGCTGACAGGACAACAGCTTCAGTACCTTCACCAGCAGCAGTGGTATGTGTGATTATGCTGACAGGACAACAGCTTCAGTACCTTCACCAGCAGCAGTGGTATGTGTGATTATGCTGACAGGATGATAGCTTCAGTACCTTCACCAGCAGCAGTGGTATGTATGATTATGCTGACAGGATGATAGCTTCAGTACCTTCACCAGCAGCAGTGGTATGTGTGATTATGCTGACAGGACAACAGCTTCAGTACCTTCACCAGCAGCAGTGGTATGTGTGATTATGCTGACAGGACAACAGCTTCAGTACCTTCACCAGCAGCAGTGGTATGTATGATTTGCTGACAGGACAACAGCTTCAGTACCTTCACCAGCAACAATGGTATGTGTGATTATGCTGACAGGACAATAGCTTCAGTACCTTTACCAGCAGCAGAAGGAAGAAGCTACATAAGATATTTGTTATGGGGAGGAAGCCGGAAGGAATAGCACTGCTGAAATCCAAGATCTTTTAACCAAGTGGTTGAAAATACAAGAAGTTATTAACAACATCCTGATAGAGCCATAGATAACAGGTGTGTTATAATTTATTCAATGATAACATTGTGGAACAATAAATGGTTGCCACCATCGGAGCACTCTGGAGAGCTGGATGTCAACAAAAATTAGTGACCCCAAACCCTCTACAAGTACTGAATGACCAAGGCCTAAATCACCAGAAAGGATTCCTGATCTTATCATGGTGGGTGACAGCTTCAAAACAGCGTCTTCCTAAATCCCCTCTCTGTCTTCTACTCCTATGTGCCGTGTCATTTTGATCAAGGTACTGTAAATACAATGTTTTTTTTATATATTTTTAAATGTCTGTTTATGTTTGAATTCAAATAAGATCATTATGTGTGACTATGTTTACAGTGTTTGCTCCTGACTGATATGTGAAGTGCTGTGCCCTCGCTGCATGGGATATGTGAAGTGCTGTGTCCTAGCTGCATGGATCCATCACTGAGAGACATGTGAAGTGCTGTGTCCTAGCTGCATGGGATATGTGAAGTGCTGTGTCCTAGCTGCATGGATCCATCACTGAGAGACATGTGAAGTGCTGTGTCCTAGCTGCATGGATCCATCCCTGAGAGACATGTGAAGTGCTGTGTCCTAGCTGCATGGATCCATCACTGAGAGACATGTGAAGTGCTGTGTCCTAGCTGCATGGATCCATCCCTGAGAGACATGTGAAGTGCTGTGGCCTCGCTGCATGGATCCATCCCTGAGGGATTTTTCTTTGGATTCAACAGTAGCCCATGTTGAGCTAGATACACACATCTATCTATAAAAATTCTGGATACACACATCTATCTATAAAAATTTTGGATACACACATCTATCTATAAAAATTATGGATACACACATCTATCTATAAAAATTCTGGATACACACATGTATCTATGAAAATTATGGATACACACATGTATCTATGAAAATTATGGATACACACATGTATCTATGAGGACTGATAGAGAAGTCTGGCTATCACTCTGGCAAACCTCTATACAACAAGGTAGAAGAGAGATAGCCAGACTTCTCTATCAGTCCTCTTCTACCATGGGGTATAGAGGTTTGCTAGAGAGACAGCCAGACTTCTCTATCAGCAGTTTTATTTTGTGTGTGTGTGTGCCTTATAGTCCTCTGTCAGTCAGGGATTGTCAGATTTTGTCTTTCCAGCAGACCCAGGGTCATTCTGGTGGTCTGGTTCCCTGGTTCTTGGCATCCTATGCCTGCCATGGTGGTTGATTCTCTCCCACTCTCCATACATGTCCAAACTATTGTAACTGTGACCGATCCACTAGAGCTAGTAAGGTCTGGGTTTCAATGACACGATGTATTGTCTGACTGTAAACTTTGTTCATTCTTGTCATTTAGACCACCTTTCTCAGAAACAACTGAGGCCTGAAGCTGGCTCAGTACTGAACAACCAAACATAAAAGGTTGGCATTAGTATCTGTCACTGAAATAGGAAAAAAAATAACTCTACATATCCGTATTATAACCCGGATGGGTTGAACAGGATATGGTTGTCTCAGTTACTACTAAAAGTGTAACAAATACATACTCTGATTTCCACATGAGCTGAGTGACGAATATCCTCTCTAATACCATCAGTGATGTTCCACAATGGTGAATAGAGCTTCTTCATGAGCCTGGCAGCCTGGTCTTCAGGTACGCCCACTTCACCTGAAGCAGCAACAAACAAGGAAGATGAGGACAGAACCACAACAGAGAACCAGTGATCTGGGTTTGAAGAGGATGGTACAGAGGCCTTCTTCTGACCACATACTGTAGTAGATTTCTTTACAGGGACCACATTACAGAAGTCTTCAATGCCCTGTCCAGGGAAAGAAACCAGCAAAGGTGTCCAAGACCGTACTCTTCTTCTTCTTTTGGTTCTCCCTGCCTGTGGTTCTTAGATGAGAAGGTCACAGTTGAATATAAAGTCTGTGGTGCTATGAATGTCTTCTATTAGTCCATACAGCTAGGTTTCCATACAGCACTGGTAGTCATGTCTATTTACAACCTTCTTATAGTCCATGCCATGTGGCACTGGTAGTCATGTCTGTTTACAACCTTCTTATAGTCCATGCCATGTGGCACTGGTAGTCATGTCTATTTACAACTTTCTTATAGTCCATCCTATGTGGCACTGGTAGTCATGTCTATTTACAACCTTCTTATAGTTCATGCCACGTGTCACTGGTAGTCATGTCTATTTACAACTTTCTTATAGTCCATGCCATGTGGCACTGGTAGTCATGTCTATTTACAACCTTCTTATAGTTCATGTCGGCTCTGTGGCTAAGTCGATGCGAACAATTCGCTTCGTAATGCCGGGATGCCAGGTTCGATCCCAACTGCGGGCAATGCGCCTTGCGTTGGTTTCGACAGTGGTATCAAGAAAGCCGACCGTCCAGAAAGCAATGGCAAACTACTGGATGTAAATTGCCTAGAGAAACCACACAACAGCCAGGGGCTGTTGGGGTTGGTTCTGCAATGTCCTGTAAAGGATACGCAACTAACTTTTATAGTTCATGCCATGTGTCACTGGTAGTCATGTCTATCCATAACCCTCTGTCTTATGTACTTTCAACCAATTCTGACACAGATGATCTTTCATGCCACAATGTCAAATTGTCCAGTATCTTTTCTCTCAGTCTCCCTCTGCCTCTTCGTGTCTCCAACTTCCCCACTGTCAAGATGTACACCAGTTTTCTCCATCTTCTGCAACCACCAAAGAATGTAGGTTGTAATTTTCAGAACTGCAAAAAAGGATTGTATTCTAAAGTTCAAGTCACTTAAGAAGATGGTATCAATTTGTTGAGGGCCCAGTAATCAATGAAGTGTATCTTCTCAAGGCACTGACACCAAGCTATGTTATACCTCTCAATACTGTGTCTCCTTCATATTTGTTCACCCGTCCCTACTTCTCTCCTCTTTGTGTTTTCTAACATTTCCCAATACTCATTATCAGCCACAGATATTGTTATAATATTGAATTAGGAAAGCCTGCTTAGGAAAGTGGGGCCTGGTTTTCTTTGTATGGATTGGATCGCATCAATTTAGAGCTAGCAGACAGTAAAAGTCACATGGATAGTTTGCTTCAGTGTAGGTGTGTTTGAGAATGAGCGAGCAAATAGGCTGACCGGTCGGCCTCCTCTTGGAGGTGCATTGTCACTGCACAAGACAGAGATGCTCTTTCTCCTGGGGGATGAGGTAACAAGTAAAATGGAAGATATTGAAAACCCGTACCTGAAGCGAATGTTGTAGTGGGAAGTATCTGTAGGCTATTGGCACCACTCAAGACTTGAGAGAAAGGCAAGACTAGAAGTTAACCAGATGACAACAGGTACCTAAAATGGGCTTGTCCTAGATGCTGTGATGTCGAATCATTACCCACATGAACCCAGATCTCAGCAAAAATGTCTCAACAACAATGCTTCCACTTACCGGCTGTTCTCAGAACAAACTGCTTGTCTCTGGCAAACTCACGAATCTTCCATCTTGTAGAAACCAATGTCTCCACTGCGCTGTAAAACTGAAGCGGCTGCTCACTGTCATCTTCAACCTGCAAAGATTGTAAATGTTGTTTTAAACTTTCTGATATCTCTTGTGCCTGATCTACAAACATCCTTGATCATGGCTTTGCAAATTTTCTGGACCGGAAATTCAAAGGTTCCATTGGCCAGCTAATGAGCTGAGTGCTTGGTATGACACCGTGAAACATTAAAGCAAAGAAGGATATAAGGATATCTTGAAATCTCCTGTCAAGACTCCTCATTTCTCTGTGCCTCATGCTGGAATACAGTTAATCTCCCCCACCAACAGATATCAGTTTAACCTGGTAACACTCACAGACTTTTGATTCTGACCCTTCCCCCTCTCCCCCCCCCCTTCCTCATTTCACCAATAAAGTATCAACTTAACATGATATTATTTACAGACTTCTTTTTCTTAGCATTCATTGGCTGAAAACTCTGGCGAAAAGATCTGGTTGTTCGCTCTTGATCCAGAACTTGAATTTGGCATGTATATCCATGTTAATGATCTAGCTTATGTGTATGCGGACTGCCAGTTTCTCGACTCTCAGGCAGATGCACTCCAACTTCAAATGGATCTTCCCTACTTAGTTGCCTGTAACTCCCACCACCCCCCGCCCCAATTTCTCTCTTCACCAACAAAATATTAACCCCGCCTGACATCAGACTTGTAACAGAAGTCCTTACCTTCCTCTGCTGAAAATCCAACCCCAGCTGATTCATCACCCGACCAATGTAGGCACCCACGGCTGCAACTGGAGCAGGACTGCGGGCGCTGATCGTCTGTCAGACACACACAATAAATTACATGAGACTGGTTATCCCCACATGGGTTCCGGGGCCCAATTGTGGGTAAAACAAGAACAGACACTGTCTTTCCAACAAGTATGTCATAGGAGTTGACTACAGTCAAAGTTGGAGTGCATCTGCCCAAACACAACAAAGAACAACTGCCTGCACACAAATAAGCCAGTAAAATGGATGTAGACACAAAACTCTGGCTCTGGCACAAAGCCAAAGTTCAAATGGATGAACAGCTAGGATCTTCAACCAGAGCTAACAGCTGGTGACCAAAGAAGAAGACATGAGACTGGTCATTAGAATGATACATGAGAAGAGAATTACTGAAATAAATAAAAAAGAGATGAAATATTGTGGCTACATTAAGAGACATCACACTCTTGTAAAAACCATACTGGAGGGAAAGGTCAAGGGCAAGATGTAGACATTAATACAAGTGCAAGAAAAAACATCAAGAGAGGGATGAACAGCAGTACATGAGAGTGTACAACCAAGACAGGAGACAAAGCATCTTAGAGATCCACTGCGGCCAACCTTCATTTTTTAGATGGCAACTGACTGACTGAGAGCAACTGTTCTTTAGTAAGTCAACTTAACTGACTGAGAGCAACTATTCTTCAGTAAGTCAACTTAATGCTAATCAGGAATAATACAACAGCACCATGCTGACTGACACATGACTTCAGACACAGATAGTATTGATTTAGTCTTAGATCAGGAAGTATCAATAAGAAAGGGGTGTGGATGTCAGGATCCACTGTGGTTAGGGGTTTGTGCACTAGGTGATAGTGACTGACAAGTACTAGGTGACTGAGAGTTCACAGAAAATGGATACTTGTCAGTTGAAAGTGAGATGGTCTGAAAAGACGCTATGCTTTACATGGGAGAGTCACTGCCCTTGAGATGATCGCTGAGGTGGGACAAAAACAGGCTCACTGGGTGAACGAAACTGATAGATTTATGTTACAGCTTAGTTTGCGACAGGAAATGAACTGCTAGTGACAGACAGGTATAATAGTGTGTCAGCAATTTTCTTACAATGTGTTTGTTAACATAGTTAGCAACTATGTGATAGTGTTACTGTAGTTCTAGCTTGACTGTGTGATCACTTTACTGTTGACTGACCCTCAGGTAGACTATATAGTGTAGTCATCATGGTGTGAACTGCATAATTTCTTCTATTTGTCAATTGGACAATTTCTTCTATGTGTGAAGTGGACATTTTCTTCTATGTGTAAAGTGGACATTTTCTTCTATGTGTGAAGTGGAAATTTGTTTCCTGTCTGCCCAATATAAACTCACTTGTGTGTGCGTCACCTCTTCCAGTAGCTGATTCATAAACTTCACAAGCCTCATTATGTGGGCCAGTGCCCTGGGAGTGTTGAAGTCATCAGCATACGCTGCCTCTACTGTCTGTCTGGTGGACTGTAACCTGAAGCATCATATGACATCACTGAAACTACAACAGTAAACAAGGAGTATGCTGCGCCAATAAGTGAAGACAGTCATGTTTTGAAATCTCACACAATCATTAGAGTCACAGATTATGTTTCCCGTGTGGATTGCCGGGGTTGCATTGGGGGGGGGGGGGGGGGGGGGGGGGGGGGGGGGGGGACCCAGGCTCATTGTCCTCTTTTAAGTATGTCATAAAAGGTTTTGCCTTCTGTCAGGGTGCATCTATCAGAGTGGTGAGAAACCAACAGTCTGCATAAAAATAGGCTGTGATACCTGCTCCTTTTGGTCCAACACATCCATTTCAGCAAAAACCTTGGTCATTCTTACAAAGTGCTTGTCTGGCAGCAATGGGTCTATTATTTTCACCAAAAATGAGGTACCGGAACTCACACAGGGGAATATTCTGTTTAAATCACTTCTTTTTACTGGCATCTTGAGAAGTAACAGACTGCAATGGAGGGGGCATATAGAGAAAATTGTACTTGACAGAGAGACAAAACACTGCATGTGCAAGCAAGTTGAACTGGAGCAGTCTAGGAGGGAGACCAAGAAGACGGTGAAGAGATAATATCCAGGCAGATCAACAAACACTTGGTGTCACCACCTGGAAAGGGAAGGCCAATCAGACTGGTGAATGGAGAAAGGTGATCAAACAGCAAAAGAACCTCAAGGCTGAAGAACAAGGTGTAAATCTTCCTCTTCTTCTGTTATATTACGATAATTAACGTCATTGCACTTTAGGCATTCCCATATGTGCTTAATCATCCTAAGCAGCAGCCACTCCAAGGTAAAAAATAATTGTTCCCATAAGGACCTGGTTATAATGTCTCCTATCTCGGCTTTGGAGGTGGCATAGACGTGCTTCACAATACTTTACTCCTAGATCATGCAATCGTGTTAGTGACAGAGATTCTTCATTATCTACTTACTAGACTGTAAAGCACTGATTATATCTGCCCTGTCCATGGTTCTTCCCACATATGTAACTTCTTCTTCTGCATTTTCTATTTAAAGCGGGGGTTGGCTTGTTGTGTCGTGGTTCTCACCTAAACTGTGTTAATTCTATTACAACTTAATAAAAATAACACTAACCAAAACATGACATAAATTATATTATTACATATACTGTCACTGTGATCATAACTTCACTGCCCGAGTTTATAGTTGGTGAACGCGAAGAAGAAGATAACTGCACTTACTTTTCATAGACTTGTGCCTCTGGGATGTCTCCACAATCAACCTGACCTTTGACATAGAAATCACAGCGGCTGATAATACTGTTTAGTGTGGCCACCAGGGAGACAGCTTTCTGCATTCTCTCGGCACTGAACTCGATTCCTGAAACACAATCACGGGTAAGACAGATGGCAAGGGTTGGAAAAAGAGCAGGAGGAAGACAGAGAGATATTTTTTTACAGCCTGACCACATGGATGGGGTGGGACAAAAGCAAATTATCTCACCCATGATTCTCATGATCACATATGACAATAAAAATGTCTGCATATGGTTATTGATGCAGCAAATAACAAATTAAAAATAGTAAGCTGGCATTTGCATATGTGCAATTTGGCTCTGACTGGGGTTTGACTGAACTCGTCACATTGCTATACTGACGTTCTTAGTTATATAAATTTACTAGGAATACACCAGACGACAAACACGCAGTTATTGATCTTTATTCGCTGTTCCAACAGTCACACTGTCGAGTTGCTCATTTGTGTTCTCGTGGGTGTTACACATGGCTGATTTATGACAACATTTCCAACTATCTCACACTGGGATTCTCTCTGCCATTACCTTTCGGATCATACATCTGGATCAGGCTAACATCTTGTACCTGTGCCCAGTCAAAACTTGCAGTCAGTAGACATTTATTTCTGCTCTCAAACAATTACACCTGGTCAGACGGTCTGCATTCTTCTCAGCTGTTCTCTTGCATTCGACCGCACACATCCAGGCCCAAACGTCAACTGACTTCCTATCCTCTCTGGGCTCACACCTTCCGTTCAAGTCTCACGCTTTCCTTGTACCTCTATTCACCCAACACGGGATACTCGAGACATGCTTATCTCACTTTCCTCTTGTTTTACTGGTCCTCTGACCTTGTCCCCCACCTATTGAGAACTCTCTGGGATTTCCCCAGGAATTCACAACATTACAATATGACATTTTGAATGTAATGGACCACCCACCATTTCCGCAAAGCCAATCAAAACTGCAACGGCGATCTTGGAACTAACTTAACTGATAATAATGTTGTAACAACAACACACAACAAGGAAACATAATTTACTTCTTCCTGGTGTTCATTGGGCTGTAAACTTTGATGAAAAGTTGTGATTGTTTGAGTTTTGTGTGTATTTCAGCTCTACAGATCTTGCTTATTTGCATGCAGAGTGTTGGTTCCTTATCTCTCAGACAGAGACATTCTAACTTTGAAATAAGCACCCCTCATTTGTCCCTTTTATGGCATGCTAGTTAGGGGGTAGTGGCCCCCCCCCCCCTCCAAATGGGGCTCAAAGGGGAACACAATATTTAAGGATTATAAAGATGTATCAACATACAAACAGCTAAGTTGAGATAAGAACTGACATCACAGAACTCAGGCATTCCTATAAGTGCTCCATCCCCCTCTTCAGCCGCCAGTGCAGAGTTTCAATTCTAATGGCATCAGCAGCAGTTTGATTGTATGTTTGTCTCGCCTGTGCCCTCCATGTTGGGCATCAGCCAGAGTCCCTGTGCCCTCAATGTTGGGCCTCAGCCAGAGTCACTGGTCACTCCCCAATGAAGCATACTCTTCAAACCATGACCATCTGTCTGTGCCTCCACACTGTCTACTCGCTCTCAAACGGTCTTGACTATATCTAGCTCGTCATGCCACAATTTACTGCCCAGTGGTGCCGAACAAGCCCACCTTTCTGCCTGTCTATATCCCACACACACCGGCATTGCCTGGAGAAAATATCCCAAGGATGCTAACTACTCAGGACCTCTGAAGCATTAATTCTAACAACACAAACCATAAACAAAGGAAGCACACAATTCTCACTGTTTTTATAGTTGTTGAGCAGACACAGCATGCGGAAGTGGTTGGGTGTGTAGTCCTGCAGCAACTCTGACACGCTGATCACATTCTTCAGTGATTTAGACATTTTATCTGTCTGCCCCGACAGGAATAAGTGACCTGAAAGCAAGGACATTAGATGGGTTGACAGCCAAATTAGAACATTTTTACTCTGGAACCCACTAATATAACCCACAAAGAATAAGAAAAAGAAAAAAAAAGAGGGTCATATAGAGAAAAGAATTACAGAGATGAATAAAATGAGGAGGAAAGGTGGGAGGTGATGGAGATGGCAAAGGATAGAAGGACTTGATGTGGGTGGGTTCAGGCCTAATCTCCACTAGGAGGCAAAAAGGAGAAAAACAACAAAAACTGATTACAGAACGGATATGACAGCACACCAGGCATACCCACAGATGTTCTATCACAGCACACCAGGCATACCAACAGATGTTCTATCTCAGCACACCAGGCACACCCACAGATGTTCTCCTGCGGCAAATGTGTTCAGGTGTAGATACTGACTGTTCCCATAGCACCCTGTTTATACACATGTCGTTCTATTCCACTCACACGTCCCTCCTTGCCAGATCCACTCCTAATTCTATGTTCACACATTCTTGCACATGTTATTTCATTCAACATAGTATCTTTGATCAGCATTCGTTCATAAATGCTCTTCAAAATGTCTCCTTTGTCCAGCACAAATGTTCCTGTAGCCATCGCATCTGTCACCAAAAAAAATAAAAATAAATTCAGCTCTTTCATTTCCTCGCACTCCTGCATCTCCTGGACAGTACAGAACAACAAGAAGATGAAGAACAAGAAGACAAAGAAGATGAAGAACAAGAAGACAAAGAAGATGAAGAACAAGAAGACAAAGAAGATGAAGAACAAGAAGACAAAGAAGATGAAGAACAAGAAGACAAAGAAGATGAAGAACAAGAAGACAAAGAAGATGAAGAACAAGAAGATGAAGAACAAGAAGATGAAGAACAAGAAGACAAAGAAGATACAAGAAGACAAAGAAGATGAAGAACAAGAAGACAAAGAAGATAAATTAGAATAAGAAGATATAAGAGCGGTAATCTAATGCTGAAGAGAATAACAAATGAAGGAAAATGATAACACAAGGGATGGGAATGGTAACACAAGGGAGGGGGTAGAACAAACAAAAATGAAAAATGTATCCTCCCACTAGTAGTTGAGCTGAGTTTCAAGAACTGGCATCCCAGCACTCTGGATCATAAGTGCTCCATCTCCATCTTCAGCATCTAGCAAAAAAGATCCAAGTCTGATGGTAGGTCTGTGTTGTCTTTCCTCTTGTGTGAAGTGTCAATTAGATTCTCTGTGTGTGAAGTGTCAATTAGATCCTCTGGTCACTCCCTGTGGCACCATTCTCTTCAGGCAGTGATGATCTAACTGCGCCTCCACGCTGTTCACTTCCTCCTAAAGGGCCTTGAGAACATTGTCATGCATCAATTAATCACACTGGTGTAGAACCAACCAGTCTGTCTGATTGTTCATTTCCAAAAACACCTTTATTTCCTGGAAAAAAATTCCCTGCCCTCTTTCGTGGTACCATGTCCTCCGAAATTTTATTTCCAATCCATTGTAGCACTTTGTATGGCAAAAAATATGTCAGTTTAAGAGACAAGCTGCTTACAAACCAATCTTCCTTAATCCTGAGATTTTTAATAATGTCAATATTTGTTTTCATTGTGGTTTTTGGTATTTTGAAAATATTTCTTTAGCAGTTCGGCTCAAAAGCCCATATTTTCTTCCTGAATGGTTGTAAGATAAATCCATGTCTCACATCTGTATGTTGCTACAGGGAGGGAAGTTGCAGGTCCTAAACCTTTAACTGATCTTTATGTTGTTGGCACTTTATCATCATGTTGTTTAATCTTTGTATAGGAAAAAAAGTTATAACCTGCACACATAGAAAATATAACATCAAACAGCCCCTTGCCTGTATGCAGCCAGTAGTTGACCCACTGTGTGTTCCCATGGTAGGCACATGACTGGGCCAGTTCATTCTCATGATGAGGGAAGGTCAGGTCCTCACCTCCTGAGTGGATGTCAAAGTTAGACCCAAAGACGTGGCTGATAAAACAAGACAGACAGGACGAAATGGTTAAAGAGCAAAACAAGATAAAACCTCATCAAATGGGAGATATGCAAAAACAGTTAAGAGCAAAGCTGTTAAAACTGGGTATCCTGATACATTAGTGTGTCGGCTGCAGTGTGAAGGTGTGTCACATCAATGTAATTGATGTATGTGTCCATATCTCTTTTAAAGGTTAGTTCAACCTCTGGTTTGATAGTCGACTGAGCTACTGTGCCGAAAAAACACATTAGTTTAAAAACTGTTTGAAATGCTCTGGGAAACATAAATTGTCTGCAACAACGGACAAATGTGGACTGGTTGGTTGGCTAAGAATCCTCTGGATCAACAGTCCCCACTTAGCTGACCCATAGATCCATCTTAGAATAGCAAAAAGGATTGCGCTCTCAGTGTCAGGGGTTTTGTGTGTGTTTTGTTATTGTTGTTTTTGTAAAGATATTGTTATGAATCCCTTAAATGTGGATACTCGAGTCAGCTGACCATCAAATTAGAAATGTTTTACAAAATTTCAACTGCCCTTCTAAGAGTGAATGAAAAACAGAAAGATTTATGTATACCTGGCCATTGCTGAACATTCAATATGCCAGCCAGGTCTGCCTTTACCCCAAGGAGAGTCCCAAAAAGGTTCTCCAGGTTTTACAGCCTTCCACAGAGCAAAGTCTTGGGGGGCCCTTTTGTCTGTGTCGGTCTCTGTGAAACATCCACATAACAATTGAGTTGGTTATTCATACAATTCATTCAAACAGACACATACATGCATACCAGACACACACCTGCACGCACAAAGACACACACACATCATCATTACTTAACCTTACAGTCCATGCTGTATAGTATTGGTAGTCATGTCTATCCCCAGGCTTCTGCCTCGTATACTTTCAATCAGTTCTGACACAGATGATCTTCCATGCCATCAGTCAAATTGTCTGCCATCTTTTTTTCTTGGTCTCCCTCTGCCTCTTTCCCTCCATAGCCAGAGTATTTCAGTTTCCCAGACAAGATGAATGAACAAAGAAACTTTATTTTCAAAGTGTCACAAATTAGACATGCCTGCCCATCTTCCATTCGGTCCTTCCAAACATTCATCTTTCACACAGCAGTTATATTATATCTTCATAGACATACAGACGCTTTTTTTGAGCCAACTTCCATGATATTTATCAATAATCACAAATAACTTTAAAAAACTGCTCTACTCTTAGGCATGTACTACTTGAAATGAATAAAACACCAGGTCCAAATATACTAAACTCCACATAGAGTGGCTCCAGGAGTTCAAATATAATCATCCTTTTTGTCCTGCGGTGCCGTCACAGCACACCAGCCCCGTCCAAGCTCAGCTATCTATTATATGTCACACAGGACTGGCAGTCTATCCTTCGACATCACGGATGGAATACAGTTTAACATCTTTGGCTTCTCTCAACAAAAATTAATTCTAGAGTTTGTTCTGGATGTGCTCGCTTCATCAATCCCTTTATTTCCCATTTTAGTGCCTGTTTTGTGATTCTCTTTTTGTTTCTTCTCAGGATGTGTCCAATATAACGGCAACATTTTTGTCTTATAACAGTTGATAATAGTGGTTGCCCAGATATTTTTTAAAAATAATTATATTTCTTCATCCCTCTTGAATTTATCCCATTTTATGTTCACCATTTTCCTCAGACTTTTGTTTTCTAATGCATTTAATCTTCATTCCATGTCTTTAGTAGTTCTCCAACTTTTACTTGCATTATGTTAAAACTAAAATAACATTAGAATTGAAAACACGTCACATGGTTTTAAAACTATATCATTTAGAGTTGCATGTTTTGTTCAAGCTCTACATAGTTGCTGATGCCTTGCTAATGTGTGTCATAGTTTCTTTTTTTATGTTTCCTTGACTATCAAAATAACTACCTAAATAAGTAAACTGATTTGCTACTTTAATCTGCTAACGGGTGTCTTCAATACATTTGTCTTTTCATAACTTATTTGTGGTCCAAGCTATATTTGCTAATTAATCTGCTTTCTGTACATGTCGCTGTTTTTACTTAGCAGAAAAATATCATCAATACAATCCAGATCTTCCAACTGACCATATAATGTTTACTTATGAAATAAGGATTACCTGGTGACATGTGAATCTGCATATTAATAAATGCTCCATAGTGCCCATACTTGTTAACATCAAAATATAAACTTCCTGCAGAGAAAAATAAAAAACAGAGTCATCACAGCTTGTAGCTAGCTTACAATCATCAATCATCTTCACATGGGCAAGTAGGGAAGGGACTGGACAAGAGACATATTTGTTATCCAGATGTGTAGAACCCACCGTTTTATTCAATGAGAACAAAGAGCTAGGGCATACCAATGCGAGGATGCCAGCAGCAAGACTGTACAACATGAAACACCAAGAGGCAGATGCAGGCTTTGAAGAAGAAGGGTGGAGGGAGTCAGCCTAAGACTTCAGAACAAATTCTTCACTTCACAGCACACCAGGGATGTCCTAGCTCAGCTATCTGTTGAGTTGAGTTGAGTCAAGAATTGACATCACAGCACACCAGTGACATCTTAGATCAGCTATCTGTTGAGTTGAGTTGAGTCAAGAATTGACATCACAGCACACCAGGCACGTCTTAGCTCAGCTATCTGTTGAGTTGAGTTGAGTCAAGAATTGACATCACAGCACACCAGGCACGTCTTAGCTCAGCTATCTGTTGAGTTGAGTTGAGTCAAGAATTGACATCACAGCACACCAGGCACATCTTAGCTCAGCTATCTGTTGAGTTGAGTCAAGAATTGACATCACAGCACACCAGGCACGTCTTAGCTCAGCTATCTGTTGAGTTGAGTCAAGAATTGACATCACAGCACACCAGGCACGTCTTAGCTCAGCTATCTGTTGAGTTGAGTCAAGAATTGACATCATAGCACACCAGGCACGTCTTAGCTCAGCTATCTGTTGAGTTGAGTTGAGGGAAGAATTAACATCACAGCACAACAGGCACATCCTAGCTCAGCTATCTGTTGAGTTGAGTTGAGTCAAGAATTAACATCACAGCACACCAGGCACATCCTAGCTCAGCTATCTGTTGAGTTGAGTTGAGGGAAGAATTAACATCACAGCACACCAGGCACATCCTAGCTTAGCTATCTGTTGAGTTGAGTTGAGTGAAGAATCAACATCACAGCACACCAGGCACATCTTAGCTCAGCTATCTGTTGAGTTGAGTCAAGAATTGACATCACAGCACACCAGGGACATCTTAGCTCAGCTATCTGTTGAGTTGAGTTGAGTCAAGAATTGACATCACAGCACACCAGGGACATCTTAGCTCAGCTATCTGTTGAGTTAAGTTGAGTCAAGAATTGACATCATAGCACACCAGGCACGTCTTAGCTCAGCTATCTGTTGAGTTAAGAATTTACATCACAGCACACCAGGGATGTCCTAGCTCAGCTATCTGCTGAGTTGAGTTGAGTCAAGAATTGACATCACAGCACACCAGGGACATCTTAGCTCAGCTATCTGTTGAGTTGAGTTGAGTCAAGAATTGACATCATAGCACACCAGGCACGTCTTAGCTCAGCTATCTGTTGAGTTAAGAATTTACATCACAGCACACCAGGGATGTCCTAGCTCAGCTATCTGCTGAGTTGAGTTGAGTCAAGAATTGACATCACAGCACACCAGGGACATCTTAGCTCAGCTATCTGTTGAGTTGAGTCAAGAATTGACATGAAAGTACACCAGGCACATCTTAGCTTGGCTATCTGTTGAGTTGAGTTGAGTGAAGAATTAACATCACAGCACACAAGGCATGTCCTATCTTGGCTATTTATCCCCTGTCAAACTGTGACAAAAAGCAGATACTGGTAGAGGGAGAAGAAAGATTTCTAGAGATCTTTGACTACAGACCTATGTAGAATTAAAGGCAGTGAAATCAGCAGGACAGACAGAATAACACAGAGAAAGATTACCGTGTTAGCTACAACCATTAGGAAAAAATACAAACATAAATCTACAATACTTGTGCAGGTCAGCCATCTGAAGAAGACAAGAAAATGAACAAGAAAAGGAAGGCACAGATTTAGAAGCAATTAAAAAAAAAAGGAAACAAAAGACAATGAGGGAGAAAAGAAGGGAAGATAAGAATAAGAACAAGGAGGAAGAGGATAAAAATAAAATGGAGGAAGAGGAAGAAAATGACTTATTTAAGAATGTCCTGACTCATCTATAAATGTATAACACACTTGACTGTCCTCACTATGGGAGTATCTATAAATGTATAACAGATTTGACTGTCCTCACAATGGGAGTATCTATAAATGTATAACAGATTTGACTGTCCTCACAATGGGAGTATCTATAAATGTATAACCACTTGACTGTCCTCACTATGGGAGTATCTATAAATGTATAACACATTTGACTGTCCTCACTATGGGAGTATCTATAAATGTATAACACATTTGACTGTCCTCACTATGGGAGTATCTATAAATGTATAACATATTTGACTGTCCTCACTATGGGAGTATCTATAAATGTATAACACATTTGACTGTCCTCACTATGGGAGTATCTATAAATGTATAACACACTTGACTGTCTTCACTGAGAATTCTGTTTCTGCATTAACCTCTACAAGAGTGGTTAGCATTCTGTGTTGTGGTTTACAGCTAGTATGCAAAATCTACAAATGTTGGCTCAACACATCATGCTTTAGCAAGAACTCATTTCATCACCTTTTACAACATGCTTACTGGAGAAGGTGGAGGGGAGGGGGGGGGGAGTGGGTGTGATCCCCCCCCCCCACCAAATTGGGACATCGGATGCCACATGAGGAATTGAAAGTTTAATGCTGATTCAGACTTAAGACCCCTCTGGTTGGGGGGGGGGGGGGGGAACCAACCAACCCACTGCCACCTAATAAGAATATCACAGCTCATAAGGGGTGTTTCCTTCTAAGTCAGAGTGCATCTACCTCACAAGTGATGAACCAATAGTCTGCATTCAAATAAGCCAGAAATGTGCAACAGAGAGCCTGTAACACTCAAGTGCTAGAACAAGATCTAAGTCCAGACGTGTATGAAGTGTCCCAGTTGACAGCTGGTGAATGCTAGAACAAGTTCTCAGTCCAGACGTGTATGAAGTGCCCCAGTTGACAGCTGGTGAATGCTAGAACAAGATCTCAGTCCAGACGTGTATGAAGTGCCCCAGTTGACAGCTGGTGAATGCTAAGCAGAAGAATTCAGAAGTAGGTAAACAAGAAATCTAACAAAGAAACAGACATGATGAGAAATCCCACAAACAAACAGAAATTATTGAGAAACCCAGCAAAGAAACAGACATTAATGAGAAATCAAATAAAAAAACATAGATTAATAAGAAATCAAACAAAGAAACAGACAATAATGAGAAATCCAACAAAGAAACAAGACAATCAAATATACCGTCTGCAGTCCTGTATGTGTAGCCCTTCTGCTCTATCTGACGAATGAAGTCTATAATGTGTGAGACATGGTCTGTCACTCGGACAGTGATGCTTGGGGGAGTTACTTTCAGCTTGGCCAAGCTTGCGAAGAATTCAGATTCATAGAGTTGTGTTATTTCTGCCATATTTTGTCCTGTCTGTTAGAAACCAATGAATGAATCAAGAATTGACATCACTACCTTCGGGACATTCACACATGTGCTAGGTCTCCTGCCTCAATAGCCTACAAACAGTCTACATAATAATAGTAAGTACCCGTTGCAACCTGTCAGAGACGAATGAATGAACCAATGTATAGATTCACTGTCTGTTCTATTGTATTGCCTATTTGATCCCAGAGAGCCTTCCCATGTGCTCCTTATCATAATGTAGCTCCCCGCTCAGAGGAGCAGTAGCAGCTAATCTATCAGCCTGCTCAATGCTTCACACACATAAAGTTTTTGGACAGAAATTCTACGAAATGCTCCTCATCCAAGTCTTTTCAAGTGATGCTAGCCACTCTACATGTAGGACACCAACTTCAATTTTTCTGAAGCACGCTCTGTGAGCCCGTTACAATTACAATCTCTGGTTGTTAGTTAGTTGATTAGTTGACAGATTATCCTCATTGCACATCGAACCATTTAGTCCATAAAGGACTCGGATCCCCACCTCAGTAAATCCTGCAGCGTGTAGCGGCTGACTACACCAGTTCTGTGTTGACTTCTTGTTCTTCTCTGGTTTCCTGCATAGTGCTCTTGTCTGGCCACACCCCTTTTAACACGTTGTTCTTTCAGTCTGGTCATTGTTGCAGATTCACAGTCATCACCTGGTTCTCACAAAAGTCTTACTTCTCATAGTGCATTCAGAATATCAGCCTGGTCCATGGCTCGTCCACCCCAAAAACCTGCATGACTGCCTTCACCTCTATTCCGATACTGGATGCTATGACGCATGCGAGGCTCTGTGTCTATTGAAATTTGCAATAAAACCCACCCACTCTTCTTACCTCTCACTACAGACTGGTGTTAGAAATAACAAATACCAGTCTCATTATTCATGGATTGTCCTGTCTGATTACAAATAAACAATCATCCTAATGTTGCAGTGCCAAAAAACATAGGCTGTCATGTCTGGCCAGGCACATGATCACCAGAATCATGGATCAGGTCAGTGTTACCTCCCCCATCCATATGGCTAAGCCAACCAGATAATATTCTCTTTGCCTTCCCTCGCTCTATTGCCAAAAATCTTGCCAATCCTTTCCAAGTTCTCATGTCTATTTTTTAACATAACACATTAAAAAAAAAAAAAAAAAAAAAAAAAAAAAAAACTTAGCCCACAGGGCCATATTTAGGATGTATGAGACCCCTGTGCAGTCATTTATCATAACTGCAGATGACTCTAATCTATGTATACGGGGAAATACAGAGATAATCAGAATAAATCAGGTAAATAATAAACCATTTTCTCTTGGTGACATCTCCCTCTAAGATGTGGAGCCATTCACCTATTTAGGCAGTAATGTAGATAAATGTAGAGGTCTGACAGTAATATTAAAATTTGAATAAAAAAGGGGAGAGAAGCACTATGAAATGTGTAGAAGTCAAAAGAAATTAAAACTAATACTAAATTTCAAACTGTTAATCATAATGTCAAATTAGCCCTGCTGTATGGAGCAGAAACATAGAGAACAACTAAACATAATAAACTACTCATCTTCACTTACTAGTGCCTGCAAAGAACATAGGGAATTAAATGGTACGATAGAATCACTAATGAATTCTATTTGTGTGTGGAAAAGATTCTAGGGGAAAGAAAACAACTAAAAATCTCTCACCTGGTTTGATTTCTGGATAATTTTATCATCAATGTCGGTGACTCCCATCACCAGGGTGGTATCAATGCCGAACACACTGCTCATGATTCTCCGTATAATGTCCAAGCGTACGTACGAACTGGCATGGCCTATATGAGGACTGTCATACACTGTAGGTCCACATGCATACCTACAGTAAAAGAGAGAAATGCATATCTACAGTAAAAGAGAGAAATGCATATCTACAGTAAAAGAGAGAAATGCATACCTACAGTAAAAGAGAGAAATGCATATCTACAGTAAAAGAGAGAAATGCTGTGACACAACAGTCTTCTGTAAAGTTTCAATGCTTCCTCAATATAACAACCCAGGCTCTCCAAGATTTTGTGTCAAGGGTGGCGGGTGATTGTTGACAGACGAGGAGAAAGATGGTCGTGTCGTATAATAATGAAGTCAATGAAAGAGTTGTGTTGCTGGTTGCATGCCTCTCACGTGCAAAGTGTCCGAACAATAAAGTATCTGTAAACAGCAGTTTTCTTTCTTCTAATCTTCTCCTTTAATATATAATCTCACACAATTCATTATTACTCTGACAAATACTAAATCATCTAAGTACTCATAGAATCGCGTTGTGTTCTTTTTTCACTAATCACTTTTTATAATCAGTACTATTGACTTTTAACTGCCACCGGGCTACTAGTGCAGGTTGGGCTATAAGGTTTATAAATTATAGTGTCTATCTACTTATCTATGCTCTCTTCCCTGCTTAATCAGCCGGTGCTTGTCGCTTGTTCTCCTCACTCCGTCTCTAGGCTGTCCCTCATCTGTTCTTTGCTGTCTTCTGCTGTCCTCTTTCTTCTGCCTCAGTCTATCTCTGTTTGCGTCTTGTCTCTTCTCTATTTGTGTCTATCCTCTGTCTGTCTCTATCCTCTGCCATGTCGGCGTGAGTCTGTGTCTGTGTCTTCTGTCCCTCCTCTGGCCTATCCGGCTCCCGTCTGTGTGCGAGGCTCCCTCTGTATGTCTATGTGAGTGCCTCCTGTCTGTCTATCTGAGCTAAGCGCTGCCGAAGATCCCGGGCAATCGCTTATAAAGGGGCCACTAGGGGGCTCCTACCCCTCCTTGTTTTGCAGTCTACTGCCATCACCTGAGCTGGCCGGGACATCTATTTGATTAATTAGTTTGGAACTTGGACGGGGAGAGTCACATGTCAGATAATGCGATTCATAGTACGTGGGAAACAAGAGTATGGACTAATGGAAAGTTTTACAATAAGGGTGAAAGCCACCAGGGTCGTACCGTGCAAACAATGCAATACTAATAAAAAGGGGTTGGGGTGCGGAAAGGGGTTGGGGTGCGGACTCTGCTACAATGCATATCTACAGTAAAAGAGAGAAATGCATATCTACAGCAAAAGGGAGACATGCATATCTACAGTAAAAGAGAGAAATGCATACCTACAGTAAAAGAGAAAAAGGCATATCTACAGTAAAAGAGAGAAATGCATATCTACAGTAAAAGAGAGAAATGCATATCTACAGCAAAAGGGAGAAATGCATATCTACAGCAAAAGGGAGAAATGCATATCTACAGTAAAAGGGAGACATGCATATCTACAGTAAAATAGAGAAATGCATATCTACAGTAAAAGAGAGAAATGCATATCTACAGCAAAAGGGAGAAATGCATATCTACAGCAAAAGGGAGACATGCATATCTACAGTAAACAGGAGAATGCATCAATCAATCAATCAATCAATCAGCATGCCATTTATGGAACGCTCTTTTCACTGTGCACCTAAAAGAATCTCGTTCTCTAGCCAATTCTCCAGCTAAATGTGCTTTCACAGAAAAAGAATTTTCAATGTCCTGTATCCAGCATCACGGAGGAGGTTGGCCTCTGCCTCATATTCCGGAAACTACACCCTCCATCACCATTCTCTCTCAGATCACCATGGTGCTGGAGAAATGCACACCTACAGGAAAATGGATTAACCCGGTGCAATGAAGCTGATCCTGTTCCTCTGGGAAAGGAGTCTTGCAAGACATCTTCTGGGGTCTGTTTAGCATGAAGACACCGGCAAAGAGCTGTTTGGTCCATACCTAATTTATATGAGTGTTTGATGAGTCTGCAATTTCCACTTCTAGTATTAACAATTATTTTTCTTTTTCTTCTCTATAATCCCTCAGTGGATCACTGATCCTCAACCAATGAATTCTCTTCTCAACATTTTTTATGGTCTGCACTTATTCCTTTGACCCTGTGGATTCTAGTGCAGTGACATTCTAGTTGTACTGTTATAAATTTTCTCAGTATGTGACCTTTCCAACACCAACATATTTTCCTCACTTCTTGATTCACTGATATCACAAGTATGTGGGCTCTTGGAAGCAGGAGTAGCTTAGAAGTTAAACAGCGGTCTCTGGCTTGCTCTTTAAAGGGCAGTTAGAATGTTGTATTGTGGTTTACAGCTAGGCTTGCAATATCTGGGTCTTTTAGCCAAGCACATTCTATTTCTGAAAAGGTCTATTATTCCCCCCCCTAAAAGGGAGGCACTGGGATCCATACAGGGATATACTCCTCTGTGACGAGTGAGCAGAGAATTGGATATGGGTACAAGGAAATGTTCTGGATAGTAAAGGTGACTGGGGAGTGCTGATCACATCATCTACTGAGTGCTGACTACATCATCCACTGAGTGCTGACTACATCATCTACTGAGTGCTGATCACATCATCCACTGAGTGCTGATCACATCATCCACTGAGTGCTGATCACATCATCTACTGAGTGCTGATCACATCATCCACTGAGTGCTGATCACATCATCCACTGAGTGCTGATCACATCATCCACTGAGTGCTGATCACATCATCCACTGAGTGCTGATCACATCATCCACTGAGTGCTGATCACATCATCCACTGAGTGCTGATCACATCATCTACTGAGTGCTGATCACATCATCCACTGAGTGCTGATCACATCATCTACTGAGTACTGATCACATCATCTACTGAGTGCTGATCACATCATCCACTGAGTGCTGACCACATCATCCACTGAGTACTGATCACATCATCTACTGAGTGCTGACCACATCATCCAATAAGTTCTGATCACATCATCTACTGAGTGCTGACTACATCATCTACTGAGTGCTGATCACATCATCTACTGAGAGCTGATCACATCATCTACTGAGTGCTGACTACATCATCTACTGAGTGCTGACTACATCATCCACTGAGTGCTGATCACATCATCTACTGAGTGCAGATCACATCATCCATTGAGTGCTGATCACATTATCCACTGAGTGCTGATCACATCATCTACTGAGTGCTGACTACATCATCTACTGAGTGCTGATCACATCATCCACTGAGTGCTGATCACATCATCCACTGAGTGCTGATCACATCATCCACTGAGTGCTGATCACATCATCTACGAGTGCTGATCACATCATCCATTGAGTGCTGATCACATCATCTACTGAGTGCTGATCACATCATCTACTGAGTGCTGATCACATCATCCATTGAGTGCTGATCACATCATCTACTGCTGATCACATCATCCACTGAGTGCTGATCACATCATCCACTGAGTGCTGATTACATAATCTACTGAGTCCTGACTACATCATCCACTGAGTGCTGATCACATCATCCACTGAGTGCTGATCACATCATCTACTGAGTGCTGATCACATCATCTACTGAGTGCTGATCACATCATCTACTGAGTGCTGATCACATCATCTACTGAGTGCTGATCACATCATCCACTGAGTGCTGACCACATCATCCACTGAGTGCTGATCACATCATCCACTGAGTGATGATCACATCATCTACTGAGTGCTGATCACATCATCCACTGAGTGCTGATCACATCATCTACTGAGTGCTGACTACATCATCCACTGAGTGCTGACTACATCATCCACTGAGTACTGACTACATCATCCACTGAGTGCTGATCACATCATCCACTGAGTTCTGACTACATCATCCACTGAGTGCTGATCACATCATCTACTGAGTGCTGATCACATCATCTACTGAGTGCTGATCTCATCATCTACTGAGTGCTGATCACATCATCCACTGAGTGCTGATCACATCATCCACTGAGTGCTGATCACATCATCCACTGAGTGCTGATCACATCATCCACTGAGTGCTGATCACATCATCCACTGAGTGCTGATCACATCATCCACTGAGTGCTGATCACATCATCCACTGAGTGCTGATCACATCATCCACTGAGTGCTGATCTCATCATCCATTGAGTGCTGACCATATCATCTACTGCTGATCACATCATCTACTGCTTACCACATCATCTACTGAGTGCTGATCACATCATCCACTGAGTGCTGATCACATTATCTACTGAGTGCTGACCACATCATCCACTGAGTGATGATCACATCATCCGCTGAGTTTTGATCACATCATCTACTGAGTGCTGATCTCATCATCCATTGAGTGCTGATCACATCATCCACTGAGTGCTGATCACATCATCCACTGAGTGCTGATCTCATCATCCATTGAGTGCTGACCATATCATCTACTGCTTATCACATCATCTACTGCTTACCACATCATCTACTAAGTGCTGATCACATCATCCACTGAGTGCTGATCACATCGTAAAATGAGTGCTGATCACATTGTCCACTGAGTGCTGATCACACTGTCCACTGAGTGCTGATCACATTGTCCACTGAGTGCTGACCACATCATCTACTGAGTGCTGACCACATCGTAAAATGAGTGCTGATCACATCAACGATGGAGTGGTGATCACATTGTCCACTGAGTGCTGTCTGGTCTACAAAAATATGAGCCTAGCATCATATTCCTGATTAGTCTTTAGTATTAGAAGTGTCCTTTATTTTACTTTAAAGTGAACAGGTAGGTAGGAAGATAAACAAGTAGGTAGGAAGATAAACAGGTAGATAGGAAGATAAACAAGTAGGTAGGAAGATAAACAGGTAGATAGGAAGATAAACAAGTAGGTAGGAAGATAAACAGGTAGATAGGAAGATAAACAAGTAGGTAGGAAGATAAACAGGTAGATAGGAAGATAAACAAGTAGGTAGGAAGATAAACAGGTAGATAGGAAGATAAACAAGTAGATAGGAAGATAAACAAGTAGGTAGGAAGATAAACAGTTAGATAGGAAGATAAACAAGTAGGTAGGAAGATAAACAAGTAGGTAGGAAGATAAACAGGTAGATAGGAAGATAAACAAGTAGGTAGGAAGATAAACAGGTAGATAGGAAGATAAACAAGTAGGTAGGAAGATAAACAGGTAGATAGGAAGATAAACAAGTAGGTAGGAAGATAAACAGGTAGATAGGAAGATAAACAAGTAGGTAGGAAGATAAACAAGTAGATAGGAAGATAAACAAGTAGGTAGGAAGATAAACAAGTAGGTAGGAAGATAAACAAGTAGGTAGGAAGATAAACAGGTAGATAGGAAGATAAATAAGTAGGTAGGAAGATAAACAGGTAGATAGGAAGATAAACAAGTAGATAGGAAGATAAACAAGTAGGTAGGAAGATAAACAAGTAGGTAGGAAGATAAACAAGTAGGTAGGAAGATAAACAGGTAGATAGGAAGATAAACAAGTAGGTAGGAAGATAAACAGGTAGATAGGAAGATAAACAAGTAGATAGGAAGATAAACAAGTAGGTAGGAAGATAAACAAGTAGGTAGGAAGATAAACAGGTAGATAGGAAGATAAACAAGTAGATAGGAAGATAAACAAGTAGGTAGGAAGATAAACAGGTAGATAGGAAGATAAACAAGTAGATAGGAAGATAAACAAGTAGGTAGGAAGATAAACAAGTAGGTAGGAAGATAAACAGGTAGATAGGAAGATAAACAAGTAGATAGGAAGATAAACAAGTAGATAGGAAGATAAACAAGTAGGTAGGAAGATAAACAGGTAGATAGGAAGATAAACAAGTAGGTAGGAAGATAAACAGGTAGATAGGAAGATAAACAAGTAGGTAGGAAGATAAACAAGTAGATAGGAAGATAAACAAGTAGGTAGGAAGATAAACAAGTAGATAGGAAGATAAACAAGTAGATAGGAAGATAAACAAGTAGGTAGGAAGATAAACAAGTAGATAGGAAGATAAACAGGTAGATAGGAAGATAAACAAGTAGATAGGAAGATAAACAGGTAGATAGGAAGATAAACAAGTAGGTAGGAAGATAAACAGGTAGATAGGAAGATAAACAAGTAGATAGGAAGATAAACAAGTAGGTAGGAAGATAAACAAGTAGGTAGGAAGATAAACAGGTAGATAGGAAGATAAACAAGTAGATAGGAAGATAAACAAGTAGATAGGAAGATAAACAAGTAGGTAGGAAGATAAACAGGTAGATAGGAAGATAAACAAGTAGGTAGGAAGATAAACAGGTAGATAGGAAGATAAACAAGTAGGTAGGAAGATAAACAAGTAGATAGGAAGATAAACAAGTAGGTAGGAAGATAAACAAGTAGATAGGAAGATAAACAAGTAGATAGGAAGATAAACAAGTAGGTAGGAAGATAAACAAGTAGATAGGAAGATAAACAAGTAGGTAGGAAGATAAACAAGTAGGTAGGAAGATAAACAAGTAGGTAGGAAGATAAACAAGTAGGTAGGAAGATAAACAAGTAGGTAGGAAGATAAACAAGTAGGTAGGAAGATAAACAAGTAGGTAGGAAGATAAACAAGTAGGTAGGAAGATAAACAAGTAGGTAGGAAGATAAACAAGTAGATAGGAAGATAAACAAGTAGATAGGAAGATAAACAAGTAGATAGGAAGATAAACAAGTAGATAGGAAGATAAACAAGTAGATAGGAAGATAAACAAGTAGATAGGAAGATAAACAAGTAGGTAGGAAGATAAACAAGTAGGTAGGAAGATAAACAAGTAGGTAGGAAGATAAACAAGTAGGTAGGAAGATAAACAAGTAGGTAGGAAGATAAACAAGTAGGTAGGAAGATAAACAAGTAGGTAGGAAGATAAACAAGTAGATAGGAAGATAAACAAGTAGGTAGGAAGATAAACAAGTAGATAGGAAGATAAACAAGTAGGTAGGAAGATAAACAAGTAGATAGGAAGATAAACAAGTAGGTAGGAAGATAAACAAGTAGGTAGGAAGATAAACAAGTAGGCAAATGCATGGGTAGTTAGGGTGGTAAAAAGGTAGGGAATCAAACCTACAGACAGGTAGGTAGGAAAGAAAACAGGAGGGCAAGTGAATAAGTAGATAGGTTGGTAAAAAAGGTAGGGAATCAAACACACAGACAGGTAGGTAGGAATAGGAAAGTAAACAAGTTGCAACTGAATAGGTAGTTAGGGTGGTAAAAAGGTAGGGAATCAAACAAACAGGTAGGTAGGAAGCTAAACGGTAGGCAAGTGAATAGGTAGTAAGGGTGGTAAAATGGTGAGGAATCAAACAGACAAGTAGGTAGGAAGGTAAACAGGTAGGCAAGTGAATAGGTATATAGGTTGGTAAAAAGGTGAGGAATCAAACAGACAGGTAGGTAGGAAAGTAAACAGGTAGGCTTGCTGGCAGGGCCACGGAAGGAACAGGTCAAGCACTGGACGGGGAAATATTTTCAATGAGGTAGGATGAGCAGATGATTCCGGAGTCAATGGTGAGTTGGCAACACTGAAGAACTTTAGATCAAAAATTAAAAGTAAATCAGCACAGGACTGGTGTTATCAGCTGCCTCAACCCTACGGGAGATACTGAAGATGGGATCAGAGTGCTAATGGACTTGTCTGATGTACGAGGAGGATGATCATTCAATTATCTAACTAACAGGAAGACAAGTAGACAAGGAGGTAGATAGGTAAGCAGGTAAATTGGTAGGCAGGAACTTACACAGGTAGGCATGTAGGCTGAAGTATTTAATGAATGAGCTGAAATCTGAACTATCAGACAACATACCAGTGTGCCAACTTCTCCTGCAGCAGTACTAACGGAACTTGCTCCTTCACAAGAGGATGGTAGATCTTAATCTGTGTAGCATACCCTTGTGGTATCTCCCACTTGTGTGCACGCTCTGTTGAATGAGCACGAACTGTGGCACTCTGCAACAAACTGCCTCTTGTGGAAGAGCTCCTCTGTCTCCCAGTTATTACATTTGTATAGCCATACGCTTGGCTTGAAACACAACGATAGTAATATCTGTACTGACACCATGTCAGAAGCTGCCTAGAAGCTGACAGTGGGAATGGTGGATGTGAGAGGCAAAGCTTTTCACAAACTTGACCCAACATGCTGTTGGAAAGAGTTAAAAACAATAAAGAAGTACGTAACTTACAAGTTATAACTGTTTTATTTGGCATATTCTTGTGCCTTTCAGAATACAGAATACAAGAACACTTAAAAGATATTAGTATTTAAACAATACTGTGTATTTCATCAACATTTACTACACAATGTTATTGTTCATAAATGTTGGCATAATTAGAACACATTTCTTTGATTGCAATTCAGACTTAGATGTTGCTGATAAAGTTTACTATTATTTCCATTATCAATAGTATGACTACTAATATCATAATCTATTAAATGATGCATCAATGGAAGAAGGTATAAAAGGAGTGAGACTAAAAGGGCAGAATGTTAGATGGGCCTGCGTGCCCAATTCTTAACAGTATAACAATAAAGTTTTGTTAGTTCAGCACAGGCATCTATGAGTTTATGCCAAATTGTTTAAAAATTGTTAGCTTTTTTAAAACTGGATAAGCAAAGTTAGGTATACATTATAAAACCTCGAATCCTACTTTTATCTCATGGCACCAGGCAGAGGAGTGCCCTGGGGAGGACAGTAAACATTACCTAGCATGAGGTGTTGTAGCCTGAAAACTTCTTGTTATTGAATGCTGAATTAAGAATCGACATCATAGCACTCGGGACACCCCCATAGGCACTCCATATGGAGCATCTGGGATTAAAGTATATCACAGTGGGTTACTGGAAGTGTCGTTGTGCCAAGCAGAGAGGACCTGTACTGAAGAGACTGATTTATGACTTTGATATCAACATGCTGCAGGAATTAAACTTAATGTTATTTTGTGGCCTTTATCCCAGCATGAGGAAATGTAACATGAAAACGTATTATGATTTTGTAGCTTTTATCTTAGCATGAGGAAATGTAACCTCAAAACTTAATGTTATTTGAGGACATATCCTTAGTCTTGTTTGACAGCTAGTCTAGGAGAAATGCTCCAACAGATGGATAGACAGGGCATTGCTTGGTTTGTTCTGCACAGACAAGGCCAATGAAGAGAAGGGATTTCATGTCTGGTCTTAAGTCTCTTAACTGGCACTACCACGGGCTGGTTGCATGCCCAAATATTGCAGTGGTATGTGATGACATTTACCTGTCTTCAGTCAGCTGGATTCTCACTGACACAAGTAGAAACTGCTCATCGCTTGCACGAAACAGTCGGTAGTCCTAAAGTCATGGACTTCTGCTGACTGCTAGACTGTCTTCAGAACTTTGAGAGCCTTACCTCCCTTATCACCGGTTTGTCTAAAATTAGAACAGTTTACACGATTCAAAATGTAACAATTGTAATAAATACTGTTAACAAACTTTTATATATTAATAAAATATATCTTGTAGGAAACAAACATTTCTTCTATATTAAATTATTATATTAAAATATTTTATTACTCAACTGTTGATGAAAAAATATTGACAATAACCAAGAAAGTTTAAAAAAGTTATCATGGAAACGAAAAATTCTGAAACGTCTGTTACTGTTACGAAGGAAACAACAATGGTTAGATGTTGAGCTAACTGTTTCATTGTTGTTGTTTTGGAAGATTTTCGGTAACATTGTGTGACAGATTAATCTGGCCACAATGGTAAACAACGCAGCAGTGGAGGCGATCTGTTCTGCGACATATTTATCTGATTATCTCGACACAGCGGAGACATTACCCGACGAGCTGCAGAGAAATATTTCTCAGATGAGAGAACTACATGTAAAAAATAGAGGTATTATTTATCATATCTAGTTATTTTGATTCTTCTTCTTCACAGCGGACCATAGATTCTTAACCAGCTTTTGTTTTATAGTTTCCAGGAAATATGACATAACACAAAAGAATGGTTGAGTTGAGTTGTCATACGGCTTGGACTTGTAAGTGAGAGGTTGGTTTGAAATACCTTTAAGTTTCAGTCCTTGAGTATTAATTAGGGTTCGATTTTAACAGTGAACATTTAGAAAAATATTCTTGTGATTATCAGACAGTAGCGAGAGTCACACCATGGAAGAGATTATGGCTTTACCACACAACATTCCCAGAGACAACAGTGGGTACAGTGTAGTCAGCCTTCAGTGTGGAGATGCCACAGAAAGAAGAAAAGTCGAAGTTTGTAAATAACTCATTAATGGTCATGTAGTTCATTATTGTTCAGAAAAAGACAGTTCCAGCTTCATAGCAAACAGTTTGCTGCATTATTGTGTTAGTTCCAACTTCAAAGCAAACAGGTCACACCATGGTTGCTTCATTATTGTGTTAGTTCCAACTTCATAGCAAACAGGTCACACCATGGTTGCTTCATTATTGTGTTAGTTCCAACTTCATAGCAAACAGGTCACACCATGGTTGCTTCATTATTGTGTTAGTTCCAACTTCATAGCAAACAGGTCACACCATGGTTGCTTCATTATTGTGTTAGTTCCAACTTCATAGCAAACAGGTCACACCATGGTTGCTGCATTATTGTATTAGTTCCAACTTCATAGCAAATAGGTCACACCATGGTTGCTGCATTATTGTATTAGTTCCAACTTCATAGCAAACAGGTCACACCATGGTTGCTTCATTATTGTGTTAGTTCCAACTTCATAGCAAACAGGTCACACCATGGTTGCTGCATTATTGTATTAGTTCCAACTTCATAGCAAATAGGTCACACCATGGTTGCTGCATTATTGTATTAGTTCCAACTTCATAGCAAATAGGTCACACCATGGTTGCTGCATTATTGTGTTAGTTCCAACTTCATAGCAAACAGGTCACACCATGGTTGCTTCATTATTGTATTAGTTCCAACTTCATAGCAAACAGGTCACACCATGGTTGCTGCATTATTGTATTAGTTCCAACTTCATAGCAAACAGGTCACACCATGGTTGCTTCATTATTGTGTTAGTTCCAACTTCATAGCAAACAGGTCACACCATGGTTGCTGCATTATTGTATTAGTTCCAACTTTATAGACAACCACAAAGAGTTTCCACGACTGTCCCTTGTGTAAAAAAAGAACACTGCAGTCTCAGCAAAGCCACTAACGCACACACACACACACACACACACACACACACACACACACACACACATTAAATGCATAAGGCAGCTGTCAGAAGTGCCAACACAAACAGTCTGACATTAGAAACAAAGTTCATCATTGATTAAAGCAGTTGTTACAACAGATTAGTAATTGCACACTGAGTCGCATAAGGCATCACCAGTTCTCTGGCAACAGGCCACTAGCCATTTTATTAATCTGCAGTTTACAACACAAACCATGTTTAGCAAAGTAAAAATGTATTGCAAATAAAATCTGCTGCCATGCGCTCAGATCAGTAGCTGGGTATGAACATATATATCCTTTCAGTCTATGTATGAAGGAAAATGTAATGAAGAAGCCAGAAGCTAAAAACAGTAAATCTGTCGGTCTCACTACGCTCGAATAAGAAAACGTAATAATGTCTTAAAGAAAATTAATTCTCATAGAAAATTGGTTACTTGAATCAATAGGTGAACCACGTGCTTTAAACGTGTCACAAGAAGAAGAGGAAAATAAGAGTGTGGTGACAACAGGAATGTTGGTGTGGAAGAGGTGATGCAGGAGACCAAAAAAGAATTGTGTGGCATCATGGAATGGGGAAGGGGGGGGGGGGTAGGTATAAGAAATAACTGACAGCATACAGGACATGCAAATAAGCCAGATCTTAAAAATGGATGTGTATGCGAAACTAAAGTTCTAGAACAAGACAAATGTTCAGAAGTGGATGAACAACCAGAACTTTCTGCTGGAGGTTACAGCTGGTAAAAATGAAGAAGAAGAAAAAGGAGAACTAAGAAACCTCATAAAAGGTGGCTAATTAAGAATTCACTGAAATTGAATATGTTGGGTAAAAGGGGCAGATATCACAGCCAAGCTTTAAACCAAAACTCACCATCTGACTGACCCTTTTAAGAATGAATGTAGAAGAGTGTTTGTAAAAAATAAAATACCTGTCTTTGTTGCAGCGATTTTGAAGGAGATAAACAGCATGAACAATACAGCTATGAAGGAAAGCGGTTCATCTAAAAATGTATGTCGTGCCCTCCAGAGGGCACTAGTTCACTGCCAGGAGATTGGTGATGAGAGAATCGCCCTGGTTCAGCTGATCACAGACCTCATTGAGAACCGGTCTCGGCAACTGGAGCAAGACAAAGAACACTTAGGTGAGCTGGGGTCTGTCTTGTTGGTTTCTTATGCTGTTTTGTAAATGGTTTGATTCTTCAATAAGGTCATACATTTTTTTTCTGTTGGGGCTAAAAACTAAAATCCTAACCTGCGCAGTCGGTGGCGACATCACTAGCCATGCCTCAGCAAATGGGCATTAATTGGCAGTTTTGTTGTTGTTGCCAGTCATAAGTTTGAATCACCACTGAGGGAGGAGTTTTGGAAACTGATCTTGTTTCCCTTCGCAACCAGCCAAAAAGGGTAAAATGGGTTCCAGAAAATGTTGGGGAAGTAAAGGTAGCTGTCATGATATCGCCCACACAATTGATTGAGCAAGAGCAGCTAATAAATGTGTCATTTCTACCAGCTTTGGGCTATTGAAGCTAGAGAGGGACAGTACTTGGGGAAAAACACAGTTTTACAGGATGAGATGAGATGTATAAGAAATGGGAGGGGGTGTGGGGGAAACAAGAGAGGGCATAGTCACCTAAATGATTTCATAGAACCAAACGGTTTGGTAATCTGATCAGAAAAGAACAAAATCAGGCACGTAATACAGAGAACAGAGGCTACAAGACAAGAGGTTGACAAAGAAATAGACGGGTAGAGTAAGTACAAGTGAAACTACAGCTGTGCAACTAGCAAATGACAGGAAACTACATATAACTTCTCTCTGTGATGCTTTACGGCTTAAGCACTTGGACAAAATATGAAGAATTCATTTATGGCTAATTGGTTTATAATAAAAATTGGGTTAGCCCTATATGCCCGATCTAGGGTTTAAATTCGCATTGCTCCAAGGTAGACCCATCCTAACATATTACCTGGGAAATAAAGATGGCAGGTGTGATTTTGACCACATCGCCCATTGCTATTAATCATTTGTTGTTGTGCTGGAAGGGAGACATTTGGGTGTCTAACCAGTGAAGCCGGCTTGTAGGTGACAGCATTTGCCTTCTGAACTCTGGCTTCTATCATTCTGTTGAGTCTGCCATTTTCTGTAAATAAGCTTCCTATATACAGTTAGTTGAATTCTCTTGCTTGTAGTACTATTACCATGAATGCTGATTTTGTCTCCTGCCTGTTCTCATTGCCTCAGTTTTTGTTGTGTATGTTTTCATATCATACTTTGTTCAGAATTTAAATGCAGAATCATTATGATATTGCATATTCTGTTCTTGGTCTTGTATTAGGAGACTGATTGTCTGCAAAAAAGAAGTTCATTAATTCCATCAGTATCTGTATTTGCCTTCTGTGTAATTCCATCCATGTAAGTAATGAATAGCAATGATCAGAGGACACATCCCTGTCTGACACTTGATGAGATGGGAAACCAGACATCTCGGTCTGACACTTGATGAGATGGGAAACCAGACATCTTGGTCTGACACCTGATGAGATGGGAAACCAGACATCTTGGTCTGACACCTGATGAGATGGGAAACCAGACATCTTGGTTTGACACCTGATGAGATGGGAAACCAGACATCTCGGTCTGACACTTGATGAGATGGGAAACCAGACATCTTGGTCTGACACCTGATGAGATGGGAAACCAGACATCTCGGTCTGAAACCTGATAAGATGGGAAACCAGACATCTTGGTCTGACACCTGATGAGATAGGAAACCAGACATCTTGGTCTGACACCTGATGAGATGGGAAACCAGACATCTTGGTTTGACACCTGATGAGATGGGAAACCAGACATCTCAGTCTGACACCTGATGAGATGGGAAACCAGACATCTTGGTCTGACGCCTGATGAGATGGGAAACCAGACATCTTGGTCGGACACCTGATGAGATGGGAAACCAGACATCTTGGTCTGACACCTGATGAGATGGGAAACCAGACATCTTGGTCTGACACCTGATGAGATAGGAAACCAGACATCTCAGTCTGACACCTGATGAGATGGGAAACCAGACATCTCGGTCTGACGCCTGATGAGATGGGAAACCAGACATCTCGGTCTGACACCTGATGAGATAGGAAACCAGACATCTCAGTCTGACACCTGATGAGATAGGAAACCAGACATCTCAGTCTGACACCTGATGAGATAGGAAACCAGACATCTCAGTCTGACACCTGATGAGATAGGAAACCAGACATCTCGGTCTGACACATGATGAGATGGGAAACCAGACATCTTGGTCTGACACCTGATGAGATGGTAAACCAGACATCTCAGTCTGACACCTGATGAGATGGGAAACCAGACATCTTGGTCTGACACCTGATGAGATGGGAAACCAGTCTGTCATTCCTTCTGTTGTTCTTACTGTGCACTATCTTGATAAATAGCCCTGATGTTGAATCTTGAATACTATGATCGTCTAGAATTTTCCACAGTTTGCATCTGTTGACTTGATCAAACAAAAGCCATCTCTTGGTCTATAAATATAAGGTCTTGATTTTTATCTACTCAGTGGATTGGTCACATATTTGCCTCAGTGAAAATTAGAGCTGTACCGAATAGGTTATTATCACTATTCGGCCAAATACAAATAACGGGACAAATTTTTCGGCCAAATACGAATAGTGTATAGTATATAAAATAGAACTAAAGAACACATTCAAGATGTCAAATGTATGCTGAACTTTTACTTCACAAAATGTAGAACAGAAGAGTAAACATTAAAAAAAATTTTATGTTTTGCATCCTTCAGTCAGTCTGTAGTAACTAATAACTAAGAATGAAAGTATTCTAAGTATTATAACAAGTAATTCGCACTGGCTGCAGCAGCTGCTGTGTATGCAGATGCAGGTGTAACGTAACTACTATTCGTATTCGGCCCGAACACAAGTATTTGGCAGAATACTTATTATATCCACTATTCGGCCCCGAATTAAATAGAAAGCGAATGTTCAGTAAAGCTCTAGTGAAAATATTACATCTTTGCAGCTCTTTCCCTTCCTGAAACTGAAATATCACTTCATTAATTGGGGTTCTTGTACTGGTTGAACATTTAATTATGATATATTTGCAAACATCTTTCCAGTATGGCTCAAGATGGAGGTTCTTCTGTATATCTCTGCGATTATATTATTTTATAATAATCATTTTGACCATCTTGGTTCTGGGCCTCATTTTGGGGTGAAGAAGAATAGACCCACTGCCCAGGCCTTCCAGAGCATGTCGTAAAAGTAGACTGATTAAGGGTATTTACTTCAAGTGTCTCTGCCTGATGGGTGGTACAGATAAGCCAGATCTTTAAAATGGATGTGAATGGCATGCAAACCTCAAGTTCTGGAACAAGACCAAAAATAAGAAGTGGACAAACCACCAGAACTGTCGTCTGGAGTGAGTTTACAGCTGCTGAACACTAAAAAGAAGATAATTATCTGTAGATGATATTGGCATGGGGGTACAAAAATGGAGAGGCAAGACAGAATCTGGCAGATGCTCAACACTTGAGGGAGAGGCCAGACAGAATCTGACAGATGCTCAACACTTGAGGGAGAGGCAAGACAGAATCTGGCAGATGCTCAACACTTGAGGGAGAGGCAAGACAGAATCTGACCACGCTCAACACTTGAGGGAGAGGCCAGACAGAATATGACGGATGCTCAACACTGGAGGGAGAGGCCAGACAGAATCTGGCCACGCTCAACACTGGAGGGAGAGGCCAGACAGAATCTGGCCACGCTCAACACTTGAGGGAGAGGCAAGACAAACATAAAATCAGACCACTGCTGGTATCATTGGAATTGGGTCAATGCATTGAAGATGGTGATGGAGCACTTACGGGAATGTCCCCAGTGTGATGTCAGTTCATAACTTACCATAATTATCTTTGGTTGTCTGTCAAGACTCTGCTCTCAATTGATGTTCTAGATCCGCGTTCCACAAAAGAGCCCGAACCGGAGGTTATCATTGTGCCAGTTAAGAAAGAAGCTAAAGTTGAGCAGCAAGAGAAACCAGAAAAAGTGATCACATTTAAACGGCAGAGACGACAGAAAAATGATGTTGCAGAGGAAGAAGTCAAGGTATTTGCTTGTTTCGTGTATTTTCTGTTTCTTTATTTAACCATTTTCATATTGTTAATGTATTTTCTGTTTCTTTATTTAACCATTTTCATGGATCCTTGGTATCCTGGGTCAGCTCCATTGACGATATTCATTCACACCACCATTTAGACTGTTCAGCTTTTCTCTTGGTCTGTTTCTGTCTCCTCAACTGTTTATCTTTCCTAGTCCTGACATATCATATTTTATTTGGAAGATACTCTTTTGCCAATTTGACGTAGTAAGTAAAGTAAACAACCTGTTTCCTCGCCTTCGGATGTATTGGGCATTTAGGGCTAGACCTATATTTTATAGACCAGTTAACACTCAGTGGTTGATATGGTCAACATCGCATGGGCCGCCTTTACTTCACAGGTCTTTACCTGGCACCCTTTTAAGGTTGGGTCAGACTGCCAGTAAAGGTCATTTTGAAAAAAGTTCGGCTCTGTCAGGACTTGAACCCACAACCTTCAGATCCACAGGCGAGCTCCTAGCGGCTACTGTTTGCCCTGTAAATAATCTAAGATTTTAGAAAAGAAAAATGATTGATTATGCTTCATTTCACTGATTTTATTTGGTAAAGGTTTGGATAATTCACTGAGTGATTGGTTTTTAATTTATGTGTTTGTCAGTAATTTATTCAATGATTGATCTTTTAATCCAGCCGGAGGAGAAGGAAAAAGTACCCAAGAAGAAAAAGAAACGCAAGGTCGGCAAGAAAGACGGAAACCCACCAGAAGTGCAGGTGGATCCAGATGAGCCAGTATACTGTTCCTGCAAAAGTGTTTCCTACGGAGAAATGATCGGCTGTGACAATGAGAAGTGTGCAATCGAGTGGTATCACTTTGGTTGTGTGGGTCTTCGTACGAAACCAAAAGGAAAGTGGTATTGTTCTGAATGCAGGGGAGATAAGTCTAATGTCAAACGAGCAGACAAATAGTGTCTTGTGTATTTGTGAGGGTTATGATAGATTTTATACCTTTCATTATTTAAAAACCAGATGGCCAACGAACATATGGAGGAGCATGTTAAATTTATAATTAAGTGTGCCATAATTAACCGCACTGGTTGCTTGCTGGATAGAGTGTAAAAAGTCTTCAAGCTGTACCACTTTGAAAAAAAAACAACCCAATGAACATCACATGCTTTTGCTTTTATTTCTGTGTGTGTTGTTTTAAAAAAAAGTTAGTTGAATATCCTTTACAGGACATTGCAGAACTAACTCCCTATTTTTGTGTGACTATTTGTGATTTAACTAGGCACTTTTTTTTCTAGTAGTTTGCCCCTGCTTTCTCAATTATCAACTCTCTATACAACTGTTGAAATCAATGCAAAGTCATCTACTGTCAGTCAAACCAGGTATTTTGGAATTATGTACCATATGTGTGTGTTGTCCATCAAGATGATGATGACCACTATTTTTCATCAAGTATGAGTACGGAGATGACCGATGAGGCCGATGCGGGCCCGAAAAGTTATTGGACTGAGGACAGGGAATGAGTGTTGTGCCAGGGAGGGGATCTCCTGCAGTTGCCTTTCTGTCCATCCTTTTCCTAATCAGTCTTGCTGTTTTGTTTGCTTCCCTTGTAGCCCTTGTGTAGAGCTGCACGCCATGCATTTGGGTCTCGAGAGGCAGGATCCCAATTGGTGTCATTCATCCCAAAGGCTTTGAGTAAAGGTGTCCTTAAAGTGTTTCTTTTGCCTGCCTTGGGAACGTTTCCCATTTTGCAGCTCACCATAGAAAAGTTTTTTTGGGAGCCTGTGATCTGGCATGCGTGCCACATGACCAGCCCAACACATTTGATACTGCATCAGTAACAGAAGTTATGTACCATAACTCGGTAACAGAAGTTATGTACCATAACTCAGTAACAGTAGTTATGTACCATAACTCAGTAACAGTAGTTATGTACCATAACTCAGTAACAGAAGTTATGTACCATAACTCAGTAACAGTAGTTATGTACCATAACTCAGTAACAGTAGTTATGTACCATAACTCAGTAACAGAAGTTATGTACCATAACTCAATAACAGTAGTTATGTACCATAACTCAATAACAGTAGTTATGTACCATAACTCAATAACAGAAGTTATGTACCATAACTCAATAACAGTAGTTATGTACCATAACTCAATAACAGTAGTTATGTACGATAACTCTTAAGCCACAGCTGCCCACAGCATCAATACACTGAAAAGCTGGGAGACTTTGATTCAGGGCTGATATTTCTGATCATTTTGTCTCTCAGTTTGCCTTCTTCTGGGCTGCTATCTTTAACCCTTTCTTCCTGGACAAAATCTTAAAACGTGACCTTTTTCTAAATGAAAACAAGAATTAATTGCTTTTACCGTCTTTGACCAAGCAATATATGGTTTTGTTAACAAAGCCACATTAAGCAAAGTGACATCATCATAAGAGTACTTCTTCTTTTATCTTTCTGCTTATGCCGTAAAACATCGCAGAGGGGTGTTATTTATAGTTTCTTGTCTTTTTTTTCTAGTTGCCTAACTGATGTTAATATCATATTGTGTTTCTTTTACTCCCTCCATCTATGTATTTCTTGGTTAGCCTCTTGTCATGTAGCCTGTTCTCATTTTGTACGCTCTAGCTGCTGTCTGATTTTCTTCTATTCTGACCATATGACCAAACCATTTGTTACTCATCAGTTTACCACCAAGTGGTGCAGAACCAGTCATTCTATCTCCCTGTTCATTTCCTCAACACATTGGTGTGCCCTGGAGAAAATATCTAAATCACACCAACTGCACGGGACTTTTTAAGTGATGCTTGCCACTGTGCACAAAACACACCTGTCTCCATATTTTATGTTGTGGTATCCAAGTTTTAATCTGTGTTGACGTCAACAGACTAGTCCTATACTTGCTGACTTAGTTTACATTACATAGGTTATGTTTGGAGAGAATGGTACAGTTGGAAGTGACCAGGGGATCTGGTCGACACTATTCACTCACCAGGGGATCTGGTCTATACTTCACACACACCAGGGGATCTGGTTGACACTATTCACTCACCAGGGGATCTGGTCTATACTTCACACACACCAGGTGATCTGGTCGACACTATACACTCACCAAGGGATCTGGTCGATACTATACACTCACCAGGTGATCTGGTCGACACTATTCACTCACCAAGGGATCTGGTCGATACTCTACACACACCAGGTGATCTGGTCGACACTATTCACTCACCAGGTGATCTGGTCGACACTATTCACTCACCAGGTGATCTGGTCAACACTATACACTCACCAGGGGATCTGGTCGACACTATTCACTCACCAGGTGATCTGGTCGACACTCTGTACTCACCAGGGAATCTGGTCGACACTCTGTACTCACCAGGGAATCTGGTCGACACTCTGTACTCACCAGGGAATCTGGTCGACACACTGTACTCACCAGGGAATCTGGTCGACACTCTGTACTCACCAGGGAATCTGGTCGACACTCTGTACTCACCAGGGAATCTGGTCGACACTCTGTACTCACCAGGGAATCTGGTCGACACACTGTACTCACCAGGGAATCTGGTCGACACTCTGTACTCAAAAGGCGATCTGGTCGATACTCTAAACTCAGAGAACAGGCAAGACAAGACAGACATATGATCATACTGGCACCATCAGAATTGGAACTCCTTACTTAATGCTGAAGATGAGGGCATAGTGCTTATGGGAATCCTGTGTGCTGTCAGATGATGACTCAACACAAACATAGATTTCTGTATAATAACTCTTCTTATGCCTTTCTAGCCCGTAATGGAGCATAGGCCCTCAACCAACTCACACTAAGTCGTTCTATCTTTTTCTTTCGCATGCAGCACTTTCCATGTCCTCCCTATCTTTCTAACTTCATTCTCCAGCTCCCTTCTCTGTGTGTTTTTGGCCTTCCTTTAATCCTATGCCCCTGTGGGTTCCTTTGCAAAGACATTCTAATTATATTGTTCTCCGGTTTTCTCAATGTGTGTCCTATCCATCGCCAGCGTCTTTTCTTCACCTCTTGGTCCACTGGAGCTTGCTTAGTTCACTCCCAAAGCTCTACATAGTGATTCTATAATACCATTTAATTCCCTCTATTCAGCGCAGGCACCAGTTAATGAATGTCTGTAGTTTATTAGTAATTGCCTTAGTTGTTCTCCATGTTTCTGCTCCATACAATAGTACTGATTTGATATTAGAATTAAAAAATTTTAAGTTTAGTATTTCTTTTAATTTCTATTGACCTCCACAAATTCCCTAGTGCTATGAAAGCCCCTCTTGCCTTTTGTATTCTTTTTTTAATATCTCTATCTGTTTCCCCATCTTTATCTACATTACTGCCCAAATAGGTGTACGACTCCATGTCTAGAGTGGGGTGCCATTAAGAGAAACCACATTACTATTTGCCTAATTTATTCTCATTATCTTTGTCTTTCCTTTATGGATTTTCAGACCAAGCTGCTGTGATCTCGCATCACGTATATTTAATTTATCTAGTATCTGATTTCATGAATGGGACAGAAGAGAAATATCATCAGCGAAGTCCAGATCATCAAGCTGTTTTGTAGGGGTCCACTGAATTCCATACTTAGTGTTAGCAGTTACCAAGTTAATAATTTTCAGTGGGATTCCAAAGTTGCCCCATTAATTTCAAGAGAGATTGCCTGTCAATGCTATCACATGCTTTTTCATAGTCTATGAATCCAATGTAAAGTGGTGAGTTCAATTTAATCCTTTGCTCTATTATATATATATATATATATATATATATATATATATATATATATATATATATATATATATATGTGTGTGTTGCGCGCTGATTTGGGTAAAGTGTGATATTGTGTGAAGGGACAGTGGTATGAGAGTAATTCTGTAGTGCCACGAGAAAGTGGACGCGTGGGTTACTGTGTGGGGGCTGAAAACATGGCTAACGAGATAGAGAAAGTGTGAATTAAGTGACAGCGTGATTCTCAGGTAACATCAGCCAGACACATGATTGATGAGAGCGCCCATACGAGCGTGCCTCTCGTGTAAACATCATCCACCTACACGGATGTGAGGGGGATAAATTGGGAGCTCGGCAGTCGAGAGAGAAGGGAGAGAGAAAGCGAGAATCAGAGACCAAGTCAGGGTCCGTGATATCACTCTCGAGTCTAACAGACAAGAATACCGTACGACTATCAGGCATTTAGGTCTGAGTAAGTGTTGAGGTTGCGGTACTGGTCGAAGGTATGGTACCGCTGGCGAAGTAAGTCCAGGGGGACGAAAGGCTCCAGTAGTACCTGTTCTGAGTGGCGACGTAGTGAGACGTAGGAGGACCACTAGTGAACTGGGATAGGGGGGAGTGGTGCCGACGAGAGCTGTGTGCTAGAGGGGACTTGTGGTAGAAGTCCTGTCGGTCATCGGAACCCTTCGACAAGCTGACGACAGCTGTGTGTTTTCGGAGTACGGCAAGGGAAGTCCGTCTCCAGTCAGCCGTGTTATAAGCTGAAATAATATCAAGGTCCAGTGAATGGGAGAATTCGTCCTGTTCAGCTGTACGGCGCAGCCAGAATGTGAGACGCTGTAGTCCTTGGAGCTGTAGTGGTCAAGGAGAGGTCGCTACAAATTGAGAGAGAGAGCGAGTGAGGACAAATGGATTATGTGCGAATGTCAACTGTAATTAATAACTACGTCTCTGCATTTGTGTCATGTATCCTGTTGAATAAAATGTATGACGGTGTCATCGTCGTCGAGTTCTGTTTCTAAGAGAGGAAGCGGAAGGGTACCTGCTAGACACCTGGTAGTGTGCTGACTAGTGGTAACTCATTTAGCACACAACAATATATATATATATATTATCTACCTAATATTTTTCCACTGACAGTAACTTAGTTTTCACGCTCCTGTAGATCACCTTTTTTGGGGCAGTTTCACAAGATTTACTTCTCT